GAGTAAACTAGCACTGATTTAACATTGTTTTAAAAAATTAACTTTTGGTTTTGAAATAACTATAGACTCACGAGAAGTTGCAAAATAGTACATAGAGTCCCTTGAACATTTCACCCAACTTCCTCCAACAGTAACATCTTATGTAACTGTCAGAAAATATCAAAGCCAAGAGTCTGACATTGATATATGCTGTGAATTAGGTTATAGTATATTTGATCTTTAAAAAACATGAACGCTTTGAAGTCATAATACAATACGTGCTAACACAAACACTCTACATGTTGATATTGGGTGAGAAGATTGATGAAAACTTTTTTTTTCTCTTTGTTTTTTTGAGATAGGGTCTCGCTATGCAGTTCAGGCTGGATTTGAGCTCACTTTGTAGCCCAGGCTAGTCTCGAACTTGTGACAATCCTCCTGCCTCAGCCTCCCAAGTGCCAGGATTACAAGTGTGTGCCATCATGCCCAGCTTGATGAAGATTTTCAAAGCTAGGTGTGATACATCCATAGTCAGGTTCAGGAATATGGTCCCATGCCCAAGGAGTGACCTTAAGAAGGGGAAAGGCTCACAGGAGGGCAGAGTAACATGGAAAGGAAATGCTGGAGGGTTCGGTAAGACTTATTTAAATTGCATAATTTGAGTTGCTTCACCCAGAGCTGGGCTGTGGCAAACTCTAATAATGAGAAATTTAAATCTACTAATTGGAGATAAAAGAAATGGTGTCTGTAGAACAATAATAAATTATTTTTATTTTTAACAGACTTTACTTTTTTAGAGAGGTTTTAGGTTGGGGGTAAAATCAGGAGATGGCAGTTCCCATCTGTGGCCCCTACCCTCCTTCCTAGTCCCCGCCAACCCCAGGGAGAGTGGTTGAATCCTACAATATATAACTGTTTCAAGTTAGCCTCTTTCACTCAGTAATATGCATGTAAGACTCCTATGTACCTTTTTGTGTTTTTTTTTTTTTTTTTTTTTTTTTAGCTCAATTCTCAGCACAGAATCATATTCCCTATTACTCCTGTGTACTAACCAGTCGCATTCCTGGAGCCCCTCAGAATCGTGTTCCATTGCCTGGATGTCCTGTAGCTTGGCTGTTCATCTACCACAAGGCATCTTGATTGTCTCCATGTTTGAATGAAAACTGCTATAAACATCTGCATGCACATTATGATTTGAATTTCACCCTCCTATGTGATATTGTATAGACAGTTTAAGTATCTATTCTCATCATATGTTATAAATATTTTAATCACTCTATTTTTCTCTTTTTCTTTTTCTCCCTTTGTCCCTCCCTCCCTCTCTCCTCTTCCCTCTTCCTCCTTCTTCTTCCTTCTCTCTCTTTCTTTTTTTTTGGGGGGGGCAGGGTCTCATTATGCAGTTCAGGCTGGTCTTAAACTCATTTTATAGCCCAGGCTAGTCTGGAACTTGCAATGATCCTTTTGCCTCAGCCTCCTGAGTGGGGGGATGTGCCACCATGCCTGGATTTTCTTTTGATTTTTGAGACAAGGTCTCACTAAATTACCCAGGCTGGCCTGGAAGTCATGACACTTCTGCCTCACCATCTGAGTTGCCTGGGATTATAGGCATACATGACCACATCACCAGGATACACATATTTTATTTAAACCAGGTGTGGTGGCACACACCTATCATCCCAGCACTTGGTAGGATTAATTGCCCTTTATTAAAAAGACAAAACAATCTCCCCCAAACCCAAATATTTTATTTTTTAAAAAATCACCCCCTTCTGGCTTTGGATGGGTTTTGCTGTTTATTTGGTGTCTCCTTCATTCTCTCATTTCTGGGAATTTTCAAAGGAGCAAATAATGATGTTTTGTGTCTAATTAGCAACTTCTGATTGCTCATAGCCTGCCACAGCTTGTTACAGATCTCATTCTCTCCCTGGGGATAAGCATGGTTTAAATCTTAACTAGTTGGCGTGGGACCATGAAAATGGGGTTCCTTATTGCTGTCATACAGCCATGTCTGGGAACACTACTAAGGGTTAGATGAGACTGGTCAGCAGAAAGTGAGTATGAAGAGAAAAGTCACTTCCTTGCCTTTTCACCAACACTGGGCGCAATGAATTCACCTGCAGCAGCACAGCAGGCACTGGATAGGTTCTTCTCGAATATTAGACTATTGTTTTAAGTAAGCACCCTGCCAATGACTCCTCTTCACAATGAAGCCTTTCCCTGTGCTTTCCTTCCAAATAGTGTAATTGTTTTGGGTGGTATCTCCTGAATCACAGTTTGATGTTCCCTTAATTAGGATTCCCCTCAGCTTGCTGGGTTATGGTGAGTCTATCATGGGCCCCAGGAGAGGAGACGCCTATCTGCTGTTTGTGTCATGTATAGAACCCACCCCCTCAAAAACCACCCTGTTTACCTAATTGGCTTTCTTCCTTGGTCTCAAGCCTGATTCTTTGACTGCTTTAATTTCTAGACCTCCCTTTTGTTCCTTCCCTTAAGATTGGGGGCGTCTATCTGGCTCTAATAGGTCTAGGACCAATGACTCAGAATCTAAGAAAAATTGTCAGTCTGCCTAAGTGATTGCAGATCTTCTAGTTATACAAATAGGATGCATTAAAGGAACGTTCACATTCAGGACAGCCTTTCTAAAGGGCTGCACTGATAATGTCATCTGAGGACTTGATGAAGCCCTGGAGGGCCACAGTTGAGGTGAAGATAGAGAGGAAGAGGAGAATGTCTAAACTGACAAATGCTGAGCCAAACAGTTAGAATACACAGGTAGTTGCAATTGAACTGTACATAAGAGGTTTTGTCCTGAGGCAATTTTACCTCCCACAGGGACTCTAATTTACTTAGGGCTACAAGAGTTTATAGCTGGCCATTAAAAAACAAAACAAAACAAATAAACAAAACCCCGGCAAAACAAGTGTAAATTCGTCTTTGTCCTCCAGCACTACTGGTTTGATAGCTATTCCAAGCAGCAGGGAAGTTAAGTTGACTTCCCTTTGTCAACTGCATATCTCCTGCAGGGGACTGGGGGAGAAATCCGCCTTTGTTGTGATGCCCACAGCGTTAATCTTATTGACACTGGGCAGGGAAAGTCCCTGATCTGTGAATGCTCATCTGGGGACATCAACTCTTTCCTGTCCTTTCAGCTGACCCTGGTCACATGGTTAGTCAGGTCAAGCTCTTCGCCTTAGGGTGAAGACCCCACCCCTGAAACTTGGATATCATAGAAAGCCACCTGGTCCCCTGGCTTGGTCTGTAGGTTCATGCAAATGTTTAGTGACCTAGTAGCTGGCGCGGTGGCGCACAGCGGTTGCTGGGGGCTCTCCCTGTTCACAGCCTGCCACCCTCCTCGGGCCCTGCGAACCCCGGTTTGGGAGCTCTTCCTAGTGGCTCCAGCACTCGATGGCTGTTGTGCTCTTCTTCAGTCAACTCACTGTTTCAGGCAGTCTCCCTTGGGCATTCTAGGGTGTCACCTCTGGCATTTGCTCCCAGTGCAGAAAAACAAGTCCAAGAACAGTGCATCGAGTTTCTGAACAGCTGCCCAAGCGAGCGCTGAAACCAGACCGTCAGCAAAGCTGTCTGGGGAGCTGGGGCTCCAGGGAGGGCGGCGCGGGGAAGGAGGGAGGGGGCGTGGTAGTGAAGGTCTGAGCTGGGTGGTCCTGGAGGTGGGGGGTGTCACTGGCCAGGTGGGCGTCTCCAGGCATTCGGGGCCCCTTGGCAAACCAAACTGCTGGAGAGGGCGGGGCCTGGGTGGGGCGGGTGAGCCAGGCGGGAGCAGCTGTGCCCGCCGCCAGGGAGCGGGAGCCCTCCCAGCAGAGCATGCAGGACGTGAGCGACGTGTGGCAGCCTCTGCACAGACTTTTCCACCGCAGTGTGGGATTCAGCGAGCACCGCCTTCTTCACACCAATCACAGCTCAGCCTCGGCGCGAAATGAGAGCCTCTCGGCTAAGCAGCGCAGCAGCGCCTCTGTGCCCATCCTTTCTTGCGAAAGTCACACTCATGTCGTGCCTCTGCGCGGGCGGCGGTCCCCGTCCAAAATGCCCCAGATTTTCACTTCACGGCCTGTGACCTAGCTACATGACTGTCGTGCGTCGCTAGCCAATGCAATCTATGAGGGCCTGGAAAGGCGAGAGGGCACGAACATCCCCCAAAAGCGGCGACGTAAAGGTGTAGGGTTCGGAGGAAAAATAAGTTATAAAAGTTTGCGTGATCAAGATGCCTCCCCTAAATAGTTATTCGGGGCTTATCGTCAGGTAAAGAATTGCACATGGGGATGGGGTCTAGTTTTGTTGACTGCTCGGAAAGATAAAGGTTTATTGGGCACTGTGAAAAACCAAGAGGCCGGTTGTACCAGCCCGCAAAGTTGAACTTCAGGCAAACCTCTGGGGCTTTCCTGCCCCCTCTCTTGTCCAGCATAGCAGGCCCCTCAGTTCCCGTCGTGGGGCCCGGTGAGGGGCGCAGCGCTCACCACAAATCCAGATTCCGGGGAGAGATGAAAGTGCAGGGGAAGGCCGTCCTGCGCTGGTGGTGGAACGCGGGAGGTGGCGCCTCACAGGTAGCTCTGGCTAGGGTCTAACACCTGTATTATAACCCGCTCCGGAGTAACTGACAAGGATTGAGGCGCCGCTGCTATTAAAGCTGAATCGGAGGGATGCATTTTACCCAGCATCGTAGGGGATGGGCTGCGGGCCCGACTGGACAGAGCCGGGTCGCTGGGGTCCTCTCGCACTATTCGAGGGGTTATCCTGGGAAGCTGTGCCAGGGGATAACTGCAGAAAAAAGAATAACAGGAGTAAAAAGCCAGCCGGGGCCGGGCGATCTGGCAGAGATAGGGACTGGGCTGCTGGAGCAGGGTGCGATGTGCTGCCGCCGGCCCGCAGAGGGCGCCAGCAGGCCGTCCCCTGGCTCGCCCACCCTCCTCCCCTCGTGAAAGGGGGCTGGGACGCCAGGAATGCGGCCCGCCCTGAGGCTGACGCGCAGCGCTGCCAAGCTCGGATACTTAAAAAGGCCGAGCAGTGCGTGTGGCACCTCAGTCGAGCTGGAGAGGAGGAGAGAGGGGGTGCTGCGCGGTGGGAGCGTGGCTGTCACTGCGCCCCAGCATCCCTGAGATTCCCGGACCGCCGAGCCGGCCGTGCGCGCATCCACAGCCCGGCGCCCCTCGCAGCGCTTGCCGAACCCCCCGCCTGCGCGCGTCTCGGACTTAGCACAAAGCACGTTTCCCCAAGCAGCGCGGGGAGCTCGGCAGCGCGCCGCCGCCGCCGCCGCACGCACCCTGCCCTCCTTTGTTCTGGGGGTGGGCGGCTGCTCTTTTCCCCACGTCTTCGGAATCCCCTCTCGGGGTGGCGGGCCACCGAGTGCAGCTGCGAAGATGCCCTTGGAGCTGACTCAGAGCCGGGTGCAGAAGATATGGGTGCCCATCGACCACCGGCCCTCGTTGCCCAGATGTGAGTGCAGCTGCGCGAGGCCAGGCTGCGGGGTGTGCCGCGTGCAGGGTCGGGCCATTGTGTGTGGCCGCTTTGTGCTGGTGCCCTTCTGCGGGCTGCGCGCTCCTGAGCGCCGCGCCGGCGGGGACTGGGCGGCGGCGGGATGCGCCTCTCGGGCCGGACTGCGGGGGCGCTGTGGCCCCGGAAACTGCAAGCGTGCCTGGCCGGGGCCGCGGCGTAGGTGGAAAGCTTGCGCCTGCGGGAGCTGGAGCTGCCGGCCGGCGCGCCCTGCCCCGGTACCCGCGCCTCCGTCCCTCCCTAGGGTTCGGGCCTCCTTGGGGTTTGCATCTCCCTCTTTTACCTCTCTGCACTGTCTCTTCCGTCATGCTGTATACTGGTCTCTTTCTATCACTGTGCAAAATTTTCTCGTCTCTATATTTTGTTTCTCTCTTCTCTCCCCGTATTTTTTCTCCGTATATATTTCTGTGGTCTCTCCCTGTCCCCTCTCGATTCCCACCTGCCACTTCTCTGTATATTTTGTCTTCCTCTCACACTCGGTGGAGAGCAGGGACATCCATGCGCGGGGCGACAAGGGAGTCACTGAGAACCAAGCCTTAACTCCTGATTTTAGCGGAGAGTGTGGGTTGGTAACTTCGCTGCTGGCAGTGTTTCAAACACCAGCGCACACGCAAACTTCCCCCAGCTCGGAATTTGCTGACAATGTGTTCTGCTCTGCCCATCACTCTTGGTGAAAGATTTGGGGAGAGTACCCTTGGATTCATTCTTAGCTACAGTGCACACTCTCTGGGAAGGGCAATTGGAATAGCTCTTAAGGGACACTGTCCTTTCAGATAACCGCAGGTGCCTACCGGGTGGACAGGGGCCAGCTGACTGACGGTAACCGGGGAATCCAAGGGAAAGCCCTAGAGATGGCTTCTGGTCATCCGAGAGCAGCTGAGCACCAGACTGTTAGCTGGGTTTCTCTGCTGCCACGTTTCTCAGGATGGTCCTCGCAGGATGTGACAGCTTCTCTGGAGCTTTGCCAGGTCTGAGTCACTGGCATCGCTGCCCAGACCTGCCCGCCTCCCTCTCCCATGGGGCAGGCTAGGCCAGCGCAGTAACAGTTCTTTCTGCAGGACCTGAGGGTTTTGAGGGAAGCCCTTAGGAGAAGTCTCATTCTCTCTTCTTGTCAAGGTCGCCAGAACTGGGGGCTTTGCAGGCTTTCTTGTGCCCCAGCCTTTTCACAGTGCCTTCCGCACACCGCACACCGCTGCAGGTGGTTTGGCTGTCTTTGTGTAAATGCCCCAGGGAGGCATGGCCTAGATCAGATGCAGAAACAAGCCCTGCCCCTTTTGGGATTTGAATAAAACAAATATTATCTATAGTGCATTTGTCTTTTTATTTATATATTTTTATTGTTTTTTCTTTTTTTTGTGTGTTGAAACTACAGTTGGTGGTGTAGTATATAACTTGGTTTTATGTGTACATGTAAATCCTTGATCATGTGTGTGCATGTACCTATGCTCCTTCAGACGGCCCCCAGGTTGGGATCTGAGTGAAACACTGATTTCTGAGGGCACTGAGGTTGCTTGGTTCAGTGGTGATTTTGAGCATCCCAGCATGCAGGGATGGACCGTTCGTCTAGTTTCAGAAACCCATCCATTAGACTCCACCAGCCTGCACGTTTCTCACGCAAGTGCAGATGACAGATTTGATGCAGATGAGAGATTTGTGAAGAGAGATTGCTTGCAGAACCTTGCAGAGCTTGAGGGGGGAGGTGTATGTCGTTAAGCAGATGGATTAAGTAAGATGCTTGTCTCACCAGCTCCTGAAATCCTTGTGTGTGGCTCTGGGGTGTAATCTTGGACATATTCCCTAACGAAGTATCTTCAACCTGGGCATTTATTACACTTTTTAAAATTTCAGGCAGTGGTATCTTTTCCAGTTTATACAGTCACATTTGTCTCTTACTGAAAGGAAGAAAAAGAAACATTGCCTTCCTCTATTAGCATTTGAAACATTGGATAGGTTTTCTTCTAAATCTGTTGCCATCTTTATTAGTGGTCTCCTCATGAGGGTGGGCAGCAGATTCCTTGGAGGTTAATTATTAAAGGAAGAATGCTCTTGTTCAGATACAAAGAACAGTAAGGCATCCACAGAAAGCTCCAGATGGAAGAACCCCAAGTCCATGGTACTGAAGCATGGGGGTTTGGTGCCCTGTGCTCTACCAATATTATGGTAAATGCTTCTTATAGGTCTGCAGCTTCCAGCAAATGCACATAGTAACTTGAGGAGACTTACTGAGTTTGTGAATCATCTTAATTGTCAAGAAGTAACTTATTGGCTAGCAAGAGCTGGCTCTCCTGTTTACCATCATTGAAAATCAGGAGCTTCCTTACTTATCTGTGTGAATTATTATACACTCAGAACCTTAGTTTCCTGGCGTGGAAAATAGGTTACATTTTTGTTTACTTAATAGGGTCCCATGCAGTGTGGTGGGTCCTGAGACAAGGGTTGGGACTTAGGACGTTAGATAAAAGGTTGCCATGCTCACTAGGGCAAAGAGATCATTAATATTGGTCCATACAGAGTTGTCTTAAATAGCATCAACTTTTTTTTTCTACCTTTACTCGAGAATGAGGCAAACTGCCAGCTGATCTTTGCTCAGAATTTAAAATAGGCACTGCTGGAGATTACAAGTGAAGAAAGGGCGAAGTGGTGCTCTAATAGATTTTCCTCTCATGGGAGCTTATACCGACTCATGGTATTCTAACTTAAGGAAAATGGATACATATTATGGAGAAATCCCTTCCTTATCCTTACATGGCCGCCTACAGTTTACAGCACAGATTCTTAGCCTGAGCTCATTAGGATCATTTGAGTAAGATTTTTGAGAGAAAAAAATACATAGTAGAGCCTTTATACCAGATCAGAATTGTCCCAGTTACCTATTTTTTAAAAGGCTCCGGAGAGTTAGTCACTTAAGAGAGCCACTCATTTAGGAAACAATACTAGAAGCTTTCTGAATGAGAAGGACCTAAATTGAACCCCTGTCTGCACCTGCTTATTTTGTGATGTGATCTCTCTCCATTTGAGAGGCTTAGTTTTCTGCCCCTCCAGAAGGATGATGGCTAAGAGCAGTTGAAAGCTCTGTAGTAAGCATTTCATATGAAATGCTACATATTTTTCCCACAGTGGTATCTGTGAAGCATCCCTCCACTGAACAGAAGAGGAGAGACGAAGACACCGAGAGATTAACTTGTCCCAGAAAGTGGTGGGACCAGGCTTTGAACTCTGTTTATGGGACTCCAGTCTCACTTGCTTCCTACTATGCTATTGTATTGACTCCCAAGGTTGTCACTGAGTCACTAAAGTGCCCCATCCCACAGCTTTGTTGGCTGAGATTATATGGAACCTTGCACTGGGTGTGAGACTAGATAGTGTCAAAATGTGCATGCAGAGTAACAAGTGCATTACTTTAACCGTCAAATAGTGCAGAGAGCTTTGGAAAGAGGTGTCTGTTAGCTGCATTCTCCACCCTCTTCCCTCAATCCTCAAACCCATCCTTGTTGAGGCAAGCAAATATCATGTTAACCCAGCATACTTTGAGAGTGCTTTGAGCTGATCTGATGATACCAGGAGAGAGGTTTGTGTCCAGCAACCTGTGACCAGCATTTTTCTCTTCCAGATGTGTATTGCATTCTGGTCTTGAAAGCACCAAGTGAGCTAAGTCTGTTCCAGAGAGACTCACTCAGGGCAGTCGTGTATCTGTAGGACCAAACCAGGTCATTGCTCTAAAGAATGGGTCAAAATGGTCCCTGTAGGCAGGCACAATCTCTGTTTCCTTAGGCAGCTATGGAGATGGAGCCTTTCTTGGCTAACAATTCTGTCGTGGACTCTTCCTTTTCTTTCCTTTGAACTTGAATTATAACTTACCTACTTGTAGAAAAGTACAGACTGATTTAGCACCACACCTCCCCCCTTTTTTAAAGGCTGGCATTTTGCAGAATCTCAAGTAGAAGGTAGTTCATGGGAGGTGCAGGAGCCACAGCAAATGGTCTTCCTAGCAGGCTTTATTCTGAGGTTGAGTTATAGGAATCAGTAGGGCAGTTGAGGGTAGAAGACAAACTCTTACCGATCCTCTGGCTGATTCTTTGCATAACTGACTTCCTCTGCCAGAGCATACAGCTCATAAGCCAGCCTTCTGCTTTCTTTTTTTTTTTTTTTATCGGTACCAGGGATTGAACTCACGACCGCCTGCTTGCAAGGCAGGTGCTTATTCTGCTGAGCTAAATCCCCAGCCCCTCTGCTTTCTTTTGGTGTCTTGTGTATGTTTATCTGCGTGGAATGAGCACAGGTAGCCACTGTGCGTTATGAATGGACAGCACGATCTGACAAGCTTGTGGTCAGGCAGGTCTTGGCTTAGTGGTCCTGCTTAGAGAAGCTCACCCTGCTTTGTCGCCTTGTCCTCCATCACACCTGGTACCCGGAGCAGGTGTCTTGTAAACTAGTGAGTGCACAAACACGAATGATGATATTGTAGAGTGGAGGCTCAGCTTCTGGGACTTGGAGACTTTTTGTGGAATCTTACGCAGCAAGTGACCATGCTTTAGCTGTGGGCAACAGTTTTAGCCTGAGTGTCCCTGAGACCCGGTGCTCTTTAGTCAATGACTTCCTCCTCCATACCATAGTGAAGAGCTACCTCTTCAGCGCATGTAAATTGACATCTAAATTTGACACTTAAGTGCATCTTAGCATGAAGACTTTTTTTGAGAAATTAAAAAGTATTAAAATCTTTATATAAAGTTTTATATAAACCCCCAATTTGCCTCAAGATTGTGTGTTAAATTCAACTTATTGTGCCTAACCCATATGCTATTAGGGAGAAAGAAAAGGCAGGGACCCAGGAATGGTCCTGGACAGAGAAACAGAGGAGTGGGGACAGGAGTCTCCTTTTAGGTATTAAAAGTTGTTAGAGAAAAAGAAGCTGAAGGTTTGGAAAATTCAACTGGGATAGGAGATTAAAATTCGTGGAAGATTCAAGATGTGCTGAGTTTAAGAAAGCATGAAGAAGGCTTGGGGTGGTGATGGCAAACCTTTTAGAGCCTATAATGATACAAGCAGCCCATTTCGGCACAAGTGCCATAGCTTCACCACTGCTGGGTTAGGGTTATAATTCAGTGGCAGAGCCCTTGCTTATTAGCTCACAGAAGGGCCTGGGTTTAATCCTTAGCCACCCCTCCACGCATACAAAAGCCCAAAACAACGATAGCAATTCAGTCCAAAGGATTTTTGATTCTCTCTCTGCTGGCCCAGAGGGCAGGCACTGGATAGAGAAGGCCACAGTCCCTTTGGCAGTCCCTCCTATCCTAACCTGAGAATGGTCAGAAAGGCTTCTGCCTTGCCATCTTTGAGGGTGGTGATTTATTTGGGTTAGAATTTGACCTGAACTCTTGCCTTAAGGTATAAACTCTGCTGTGTCTATGGTTTTTTTTTCCCCCTGCCAAAGTGCTTACAGCCGAGGAGATTTGCTTCTGTGATTAGTGGGTAGACATAATCCCTGATTTGATAAATCAGTCAGCTTCTCTGCTTTCTGGCTGTTGGTTCCAATTGAAGTATTTTGTGTGTGGACACAGTTGTATTTCTGTCTCCATGCATGCTGGGTGCTCTTGGAACGGTGGCTCCATGGGGTCACCTGATGAAGGAGGAGGGACCAATGACCCGGGGAAGGGCTGGTGAGCAGACATTGTCTCCATGTCCAGTAAGAAAATGTGGGGCTCACTGCCACCTTTCTCTCCTTTTAGTTTTTTGAGGCAAGATCTTTCTGGGTACTCCAGGCTGGCTTTAAACTCACTGACTGGCTGAGGCTGGCCTTAAAAACTCTTGCCTCAGCCTCCAGAGTCCTGAGAATACACCATTTTACCCAGTTCTAGCTGTTACTTTTCTCATGTGTCATTACAGCTGCTAGAATAATCCTGGATGCACTGAGATGGGTCTTACGAAATCTCTAGTCTGGGGACACAAAGCTTCTTGGTACTTGTTTGTGCAGCTCACGTGCTCACTTGCTTATCACCTGAGTGTGTGTGTGTTTTTTCTGGGCAGTGGTCAGCTCCTGTTTTCTAGGAACTTGTTTGTTCTCAGGCCTCTGGAAACTGAGGGAGTGCAACTTTTTGTGGGGAGGACTTTTTGTGGCTCCAAAAAGGGTCTTGATGCCCTCATTTTCATCTGTACCCTGGACAAGGAAGTAGAGCCACTGCAGACCGCATGCTGCTGCTTGACTCTGAGCCTCCACATGGAGGGAGGGGGGTAGAGTCAGTGACCTTAGTACTTACTGGCTGTTGAGGTGATTGCCGAGGCTCAGGAGATGTCCTGTCCTCAGGATGGTGGCATGTCTTCCTCCTCACCATGAACCTGCCAGTTTAGGTGTATCCTTGTGTCTGAACCGCTGTCTGAATCTGCCCACCTTGGCAGTGTGGGTTATAGAGCTTTCCCTGCAGGGTGGACTGCTTGTGCCAGGAAGGGGCAAGGACACAGAGCTGGAGCTGGCTGGCGGCCTCTGGCTTGTGAACTTGTCACTAGGATGCAAGGGTGGCCTGAGAGTCACAGGGACAAAGTGGCAGCCAAAGAAATACTGGGCTTTCTTACAGTTTCCAGAGACGGTGTCTTTTGGCTGCTTTGTGAAACCCTTGCTCCCTGGGGTTTGTCTTATTGAGATTCTGAGGAATGTGGGACAGCCACTCAATACCCCAAACTAGCAAGCTCACAGGCAAGAGCGTCTCTCTTTGAGCTGGTCTCTGCCTGGAGCTTAGGGATCTGGCTTCTGCAGGAGGACTTGGCATTCTCAGAAACCCACTGCAGGATGGTGGTAGGGAGGAGGGAGAAAAGAGGGTCAGGAATGGTGGGATTTACCTGTCTCCTGCCATTTGATAAACTCTTACTTTTTAAAATTGGCTTCTAATCAGGCATGGTGGTGCATACTTGTTATTCCAGATAGGAAATGAAATACAAATTTCAGTGCCATTCTTTAAAATTTATGGTTGGGCAGAAGGCTGTTTGTCACCTCTCGTTACCTAATCTATGACCCCTTTTTTGCTCTCTGTTTGCAGCCTGTGGGCCGAAGCTGACCAACTCCCCCACAGTGATTGTCATGGTTGGCCTCCCCGCGCGGGGTAAGACTTACATCTCTAAGAAGCTAACTCGCTACCTCAACTGGATTGGTGTCCCAACGAAAGGTGAGCCAGGGCCCCAGGCAAGGGCTGTTGCATTGAGTGCTGTGATCCTGCTTGTGTCTTCCACAATGCAAAAACCTGACCTTCTGCCACTCGTTGTTGGAACCCATGGGCAGCACCACTTTTGGGTCACTTCTGTCCCAGGTTCTGGAGTCTGATCCTGCTGCCTGTTCCAGCTGTGTCTCCACCATACCGTGTCCGTACCTTCCCTTGTGGTTGGCTCATTCTCTCCTTTCCTACTCCCCCCCGGCCTGCCTGGCCCAGATTTCACTCTCTCCCCTGCTGCCTTAGGCTGTGCAGATCTTTCTCCTTAAAATGTCCATTGTGCTTGTCATCGTGTTTCTCTACTGACGTCTGCTGGTGTTTCTCATTGTTGGACTGTTGATGACATTGTTAAGAATCGCTTCCTGGCCTTCCTCATGGAATTGAAATGTCTGGAGGATGGAACCAATTTTTACATTTCCTGTTCCCTCACTGTGTCCAGCCAGTGTCCAGTAACATTCTTGCTCTCTCTCTCTCCCTCTGTCTCTCTCTCTCTGTCTCTCTTTCACTCTGGTGTTGGGGATTAAACTCAGAGCCTTGTACATGCTAAGCATGTGCTCTGCCATTGAGCTCCTCCTACCTCCAATAACTATGACACATGTCCCTAGGTACTGGCTTCTGGGCCAGCAGGAGAATGGCTGATGAACCCTGGCATTGTGTGAGAGACCCACTCACTTTGGAATACTATACATAGAAACCATTGCCCTCCTTTTTGCTAGATTTAACTGTCCTCGGCCTCCCTCGCATAGTCTCAGTCTCTCTGGCCCATGACTAGAGGCCAGGTCATATGAATCTTATAATAACCATATACTCTCACATAAAGTGGGCAGCGGTGGCCCCTATGACTTGGTCTGGAGGAGGCAGGGCTGCTTCCCAGCCTGTTATTCCAGAAAGGGGACAGTAATCCTGCACTGGGAGGCCACACTCTGGTTTCTCCACCAGCTGTCATCTTATTCAAATTAGTGTCAGTTGGTTAGTTTTCTCTTTGATTGGACTGTGCTCCCAGGTGGGGGTTGGGCTTTTCTCCTGCTAGGTTACCCAGGCTGTCCTTGTCTTTCTCATCCAGTGTTCAACGTAGGAGAATATCGCCGAGAGGCTGTGAAGCAATACAGCTCCTATAACTTCTTCCGCCCTGACAATGAAGAAGCCATGAAAGTCCGAAAGTAAGATGTGATCTGCTTTGCAGGCCTGGGTGTTGGTGTGCTGCATGGCTACAGGTTCCGTAAGAGGAGGGAAAGCCAGACTGTGGTGTGGCTTTCTGCTGGTGGCATTCCGATCTGTCTAGTGTTGGGACAAGTCTCTTGGCCTGTGAGACTTGATGCTTTGATCTGTTCTCAGATAGCTGAGCTGATGTGAGACCAACAGCAACCACACTCTGAGAGTAAGCAAAGCCCATTTTATTGGGAGTCATCTGTTTGCCTCTGAAGAGGCTTTCTTAGGAAGCACAAAGTCACTGAAACCCTAGAGAACCCTAGGTATTCAGCACTGACTGCACACTAGAGTCAGCTGGGGAGCTTCTACAGCTCCTGATGTCAGACTCTACTCCAGACCATCCAGTGAGGATCTGTGGGTGGGCTGTGACATCACATTCTACACAGCTCCCCGGGGGAACAATTTCAGCCTGCAACCAGGTGCAGGCACTGCTGCCCCAAGGGCGTCTGAAGCCATCAGATTGGAAGCATCTCAGCCTCAGGAGGCCTGATCAGCACTCAGCGGCCTTGAAGTGGAATTTATCACTGTGGGGGTGGCCTGGACTTTCTGTGGGTAAGTCTGCTCTAATGGGTGCTTTTTGTTCTTGTGTGTTACAGACAGTGTGCCTTAGCTGCCTTGAGAGACGTCAAGAGTTACCTGACAAAGGAAGGGGGACAAATTGCAGTAAGTCTGGGGAATGCAGCCAGCCCAGTCTCCAGTCCCCTGGTAGAGAGTGTCCTCACTGGCCTGACAGCACTGAGGGCCATTGTAGAGAGGACACAAAGGGATGGGAGCCTCTATGGGTTCAAGGAAGTAGGTGACTGGACCAGCCTGGTGTCTCAGGAAAGTAGTCTCAGGGTGGCACAGCTGTGGCGTGCTGTTACCCAGCTCCTTGATGGGCAGCCAGGCACCACCTCCAGGATAGGCAGGGCTGGGGTTGCTCCCTACATCGTACCTAACGTCCCTTTTGTCTTTCATGTTCAGCCTCCCACGACATGCTTCTGCTGGTCTGTTTGCTATTCTACTGTTCTGAGCACTGTAGGTAGTGGGAGAGGAGAGGCCCAGGGCAATCTGTCCTGGAAGTGCAGGTTTAGGCTTTTCCCTGGAAATGACAGGTTTGACTTACTTGGTGGCACTGGTAAATATTGTCAAACTCAAACTTGGGCTCTCCTTTGTGACCTTTTCTTTTTCCTGTCAGGTTTTTGATGCCACCAATACCACTAGAGAGAGGAGACACATGATACTTCATTTTGCCAAAGAAAATGATTTCAAGGTGAGCCAACCTTCTTACCTTATCCCAGCAAATTCAGGACAGATGAAAGCCTCATGGACCTGATTTCTGCTTGGTCCATTACCTTCTTCTGCTTGAGTTTTGCTGCTTAAAAGTAGGTCTTTCCTATGGTAGGCCCTACAGAGGGAGGCCAAAGAACTTGGCTGTGTATAGGTGGCTATCATGTCTTTGGGAATGGATGAAGGGCACCCTTCCGCCTTGTATACTATGATGACATCACTGTGATATCAAAGTTGGCCCTTTGTGGCATTCATTGTTTTCTAATGTTTGTGTCTCATTCCCACCAGGCATTTTTCATTGAGTCCGTGTGTGATGACCCTACAGTTGTAGCCTCCAACATCATGGTAAGACAGTAGGAAGCCCCACTTGCATGCAGCAGCTTAGACTGCAAAAACATTTGCAAATCCAGAAAAATAGGAGCCCAGCCTGGGTCTGGGAAAGTAAATAAACCTTTAGAAAGAGCTGCTTTTGCCAGCTTGGGGTTAACTGTTGGAGGCCTGGACATGAGGAAGTGAGATATACAGAGGTGTTTAATTTAGAATTTCAGTCTGTGACCTGGACCAGCTCCATGCAGGGTCTTTGAGGACAGTACACAGCCTTGAGTGGGATAGGAGTCAACATAGAGAGGCTGGGAGCAGTTTCTGCAGGGGCAGGAGCTTGGCAGCTGAGTGTGATGGGGCAGCTGCTCTTTGCGGGTGAAATAGGAGGTAGCCAGCTGATCTTTTCTGCTCTTAAGGTCGCTGATGAGTAAGCATGGTTGTGTGTAAACAAAACCTCTAGGACTCAGTGTGTGCACAGTCGAGTTCCTGTGTCTGGGAGGAAGGGGTGTTGTGAAACTGTCTTCTTGCTAATGGATCTGATGAACTTGGGACATGCCCCCCTCTCTATCTCCACTGTGCTGCAGGGAGCCTGCCCACATAAACCAAGAAAACTCAACAGCACTGTTGATTAATCCTGATTTTATCACTTGATAGCAGAGTATCTTGAACAGAAATGGTTACTGTGAAGACTTTTTCTCAGGTCACCTCCTTCTGTTGTAGATCATTTTCTCTCCAGTTTAAATATATCAGAATAAGATATTTATAAAGAAAAACAGTTCTTTATAGGCAGGGAATGCTATTTTGATTTTGCTGCATATGAATGTTCATCTCTAAAGGGGATACATTGGTCCTTGGCTCTAAGGCAGTGGAAATAATTACAAACATTTCCAAGAAATGTGTCCCTGTTTCAGGAAGGGCAATTTGAATTGAGGAAAATCAGTTCAAATGAATTTCATTAGGTCCAAAGAAAGAAGCTCAAGGGACAAGGAAACAGAAGTTGTAATAATCTAAACAAAGGGACATCCTGTGAGTTTTTTGGTTGTGCTTTTCTCATTCCTCTTGTGAATGCAGCTGTGAGGTCATTTTTCCCCAGTGAGTAATCGCCAATGCACTTGCCAAGAGTTACCCTTTAACTTGTAGTCCATTAACACAAGTGGACCCCTCTTTGCAGAAATCTTTCTGAAAACCTCAAAGCAGCTATGCAAGGTAGACCCAGGAATTTGTGAACTTGGACTTTTTAAAAAAATTCTGAAATACACATAACATAATTTACCATTGTAGCCATTTTTAAGGTTACATGCGGGTGAGTGGCTTGAAGTACCTTCACGGTGTGGGCAGCTGTTACCACCACGCATCTTCAGGACCTTTTATTGTCCCACCAGAAGTTCTGTACCCTGAAACACAGCCTCCCTGAGGGATTGGACCCTTAAAGAGTGGCTGCTTCATACTTGTGGCTATTTTCAAGAGAAATAAAAGCACAGGCATTACAAACCAGAATTTCTCTGGAACTGACCTGGTCCCTCAGGCCTCTTGTCCTGTTGCTGAGCTGGGTGCTCTACACAGGAGGGTGTGGGAGAGAAGCTTAATCATAGACCTGCCCCAGTGTGTGCCGCCTCTGGGAGGATGGAGAAGAGCCCCTCTGCCCTGCCAAAGGTCAAGGGCATTTCCAGCAACTAATAATGCACCTTTTATTACCAATGACCTCTACTTGGTGTGAGGAGCTTTGCAAGTGCTTATGTGAGATTTTGCTGAATTAGAGCCAGATTGTCTGGTGGTGACTCAGTTACTGGACTGATCCTGACTCAGTGGTCTATTCAGAGGTGTTCATTATAGGCTCCTTGTGGGTTTCCTATGTCTGTTCATCCACCCAACAGTTCTGTCTTCCCTGGGCATCTCCCCCCATAATCACTGGGCTGTGACTCAACCCCTAATTTCTTTTTTCTCCTGTATACTGGGTAGGATAATCTTTATTGTGAGCCTTTTGGGCTTCCCCTTTTGAAAGCACCAAATCCTGCTTAATCTAAGCAGAAAGCCTTCCAGCGTGATTCATCAGCTGCCTCTTTGTGATGTTACAGGAAGTGAAAATCTCCAGCCCAGATTACAAAGACTGCAACTCGGCAGAAGCCATGGACGACTTCATGAAGAGAATCAGTTGCTATGAAGCCAGCTATCAGCCCCTCGACCCTGATAAAAGTGACAAGTAGGTGATTCCCAACCACTTCTAAATTACCTGCACTGGGGCTTTTAATGTTTTCTTCATATTCCCAAATAGGATTTGTTTAAAAATATCTTGTTTAAAAAATCATCATTTATGAACCCACATTCTGTGTAAGTGTTGAGGCATGAGTGTCCAGAGAGTCCAATCTTGTTACCTCTGAGAGTTCCTACATTTTCTTCTCCCTTCTTTGCTTTTCTCTCCCTTCTTTCTGGGGGGCAGTGCTGTCTCCTGCTGTGGGAATCATTGCCTTGATTTTGCTCTTTGACTCAGAGAAAATGACTCATTCCTTGCCATGGAGGAATGTATTGTCTAACCTGGCAGTTATCTTAGGTAGCAAATGTTCTAGAAATGGGCCCAGCCCAGGCTGGGCGTGCTGCTGGGCTGTGGATGCAACCAGAGTGGTGGTCCTCAGTGGCGTTTCTCTGCAGGGACTTGTCACTGATCAAAGTGATCGATGTTGGCCGGAGGTTTCTGGTGAACAGAGTCCAGGACCACATCCAGAGTCGAATTGTGTACTATCTGATGAACATCCACGTACAGCCGCGTACCATCTACCTGTGTCGGCATGGCGAGAATGAATATAACCTGCAGGGCAAGATCGGGGGTGACTCGGGCCTGTCCAGCAGAGGCAAGAAGGTAAGAGGAGAGGAGGGAAAGGGCCTGGGGCTGATGGGTGCCAGGAAGTTGTGGGGTCCTAGAGGTTGGTGAGGTGTGCAGTTTCTGTCTTACCATATTCATGTACATGTCTTCGTGTGTGTGTGTGTGTGTGTGTGTGTGTGTGCGCGCGCGCGCATATATGTATGGTAGTGAGTGTGGGAAGGGGAGGAGCAGGGAGAGCTAAGTCTCCTAGGCCCTGGGAGGGTGTATTATGGAGGCCAACTGTGTTTGGTGGCTGTTGGGCCACAACAGAGTCTAGCCCGACATGAGAATGAGCATCTTGCCTTGCCAATTGGAGGCGCAGGGGCCCGAGTCAGCATTCCTCTCCCCTATCCTCAGTTTGCCAATGCTCTGAGCAAGTTTGTCGAGGAGCAGAACCTGAAGGACCTCCGGGTGTGGACCAGCCAGCTGAAGAGCACCATCCAGACAGCGGAAGCTCTTAAACTCCCCTATGAGCAGTGGAAGGCACTCAATGAGATCGATGCTGTGAGTTCCGGTTGGCATGGTCAGAGGTCAGGCTGGGAGTGGGGAGCCTTCCCTCAAATCCACCAGAATCACTCTTGGGGATTCTGGATGGCATCTTGGGATCCCCTTCAGACCCTTTGGGTATGTTGCCCAGAGTAAATGTAGTGTTTCCACCAGGGCGTCTGTGAGGAGCTGACCTATGAGGAGATCAGAGACACGTACCCTGAGGAGTATGTGCTGCGTGAGCAGGACAAATACTACTACCGCTACCCGACTGGCGAGGTAAGCATGTGGGTTTCTCCCATCCCACTCTGTTCGTTTACTGCAGGCTGTGCTTTGGACAGATCATGGCCAGGAACAGGTGGTGTTTGTTGTGTATGAGGCTGGTGAAGAAAAGGCTGTGGGGCCAGGTGGACCCCGTTACCAGCCACAACTGTCCACTCACTCTTCTTGACTCATTCTATAGACTCCTTTCTACCACTGGCACCACGGACCTGAGTCTTCTTAATGCAGCCCATAAACAACCTTAAGAGAAAAAGAGTTGTATTTCCCTCTAAGCAAACATGAAAGGTGTGTGCATGTGTCTCCAGTGACATATGTACTCACAAGGGAAAGAAGAAGATGGTGGGTGATGCTTTACTCCAGACAAAGGATTTCCTCAGGGCTGCAGACCAAGTATTGGACAGGCCAGCTTCAAGGAAGTTATCTCATAGGACTTGTGTTGAGCTGACACCGTAGGGGGTATTTCCCCTGTCATTCACTGCCTGCAGTGGCCTTGGTCCAAGCAGAGGATGTAGAGTTGCATGGTCCTCTAGGAGTGCAGCCAGGCAGTGTGTTGACACCTAGCAGGTATCCTTCCAGCTTGTGCCCTTCTGAGCATTTGCCATCCTCAGCCCATGGGCCGTCTCACTGTGCTCTGGTCCCAAGCTGGCCTTCACTCACTGGGATGCTGGTCAGGAGAATAAGGATGATGGAAGGGGCCCCAGGGCAGTAGGAGCTTTACTGTTTAAGGTCACAATACTGCTCCTTATTTTCATGTTTTTTAACTGATATAAAATTCATTGAACAAAATTCATCATTTTTACCTGTGCTAGGGTGCTTGACTCTGGTTTTTAGAATATAATAACCCTTTGTGATTCTCAGGGATTGGCTGCAAGACCCTTGTAGTTAACAAAATCTGCAGATGCTGAAGTCCTTTATGTAGTTATTTGTATAATGTACACGCATCCCCCTGCAGACATTATCTCTGCATTACTTAGAGTACCCAATGCACTATAAATACGATGTAAATAGTTGTTATATTGCATTATTTAGGGAATAGTGAGCAGAAAAAAAACCCTATAAGTGTTCAGTACAGATCCCCTTAATATTTCAGTCTGCAGTGGTTGTGGAGCCCACAGAGGGGAGGGTCAGCTGGAATCACAGTGCCATGTCACCTTCACTACTAATTCCAGGACTTGTTTTTCACTCCCAAAAGAAACCTCAAACTTGTTAGCTGTCAGTCCAAATCCCCAAACTCCTGCTCTTGACAACCATAAATCTACTTTTCTGTGGTCTTTCCCAGTCTAGATATTTCACAGAAGTGGAATCAGGCTAAATATGCAGACTTTTGTGTAAGAGTTTTTGAGGTTCTTCTATGCTAGGGTATGTGTTAGGACCTTACAGCTTTTTATGGACAATCACGTTCCATTGTTGTACCCTCCATAAGCCCTGGAGAGCAGTCAGAAGAGAGTCAAGATGGCCAGTTTATGATCTCTTAAGCTTATTTCAATAGCACAGAGCTGAGTACTTAGGGGTGAAGGGGTGGGGATTGATAGACTGATGGATGGAAGACTGTCTGTGATGATGGAAGACTGAGAATTGTGGAGGGTTCTTCTCAAATGCCCTTGTTCTAATGCCATGTTCTGTCCCTTTGTGCTCAGTCCTACCAGGACCTGGTCCAGCGCCTGGAGCCAGTGATCATGGAGCTGGAGCGCCAGGAGAACGTATTGGTCATCTGTCATCAGGCTGTCCTGCGCTGCCTACTGGCCTACTTCTTGGATAAGAGCGCAGGTACTGCTGGGCAGGTGTGGGCTCAGAAGGAGGGAGAGAATGAAGTTGGCCTTTGAGAGTGTGTTGTTGAAGACCCATTATTGCTCACTGTGCTACAAGGCAAGATGTTAGGAAAGGTTGGCTGTGGACCTAGCTCAAGGCCTGCTGCTTCGCCCTCTCCATCTGGTGCCTCCTTGGCAGCCCTTAGGAAACGCTCTTGAGCACAATGTGATGCCTAGAGGCTTTACCACCTGATAAAAGAGCTCTCTTAAATTCCACAGTGCCTTTGCACATCTAAGGGTCTTGGGGTTGCGTGTGGGAGCAGCTCTTGTCATCAACCTATCTACAAGGTCAGACAGCCCATAAAACTTAAATGATGCTATTAACACTTTAAGTCTTATCTCTATCAAAGCTCCAGCTGAATCATTAGACAGACCTAAATCATTGGGGAAAGTTTTTAAAAAATTTAGAAAGTCTAAGAGTTTGAAACCACTTTTTAAAGAAACTGAATTTAGCAGGGTGAGATGGTGTCACATGCCTGTGATCGCAGCACTTGGGAGGCTGAGGCAGGATGACTGCTGTGAGTTAGAGGCCAGCATGGAGAACATAGCAAGATCATTTAAACAAACAAAACAACTACTCCTGTGAAGATAGGTGCTCTGATTGTTTGGATTTTGTTCTTTTGGCACGGTGTTTTTTCCTAGAGCCTTCTATCCTGGGCAGGATGGTCTGTGTACTGGGGGGAATGCCCCCGTGTGTGGGCACAGCTTTTGGGGTCTGGGCATGGCAGAAGCTCTCATGGTGGGTTTGGAAATGCCCCTTCATACTTCCCTAAAGAGTCTCATATGTAATTGTGGGGTCACTTGTCTCTTTTCAGAGGAGATGCCCTACCTGAAATGTCCCCTTCACACCGTTCTGAAACTGACACCTGTTGCTTATGGTGAGTAGCAGCCCTTGCCAAGCCCTGACCGAGGACTGTGTTTGCTGGACTCTGTTTGTAGCCAAGGCCATCCTTTTAACAGACGGTCTCTCCTACCCTTTATCCCACAGGTTGCCGTGTGGAATCCATCTACCTGAATGTGGAGTCCGTGAGCACACACCGGGAGAGGTCAGAGGTGAGTGCTGATCCCTGCACCCCCAGCCTGGGGTCTGTCACTAAGGATGTGAAGAGACCTGGGAAGGCCTGTGACTGGGTGCCTTTAGCTGGGTTCTCACCCGAGTAGCTTGCTGGCACTCAGGCTGCTACGGTTAGCACTTCTGTACTTCTGCCGTGCTTTTCCTGAGGCTTCTCCGTTTCTTGTTTTTTTTTTTTCCTTTCCTTTAAGCTCCTCCCTTCCTTGTTTCCACTTGAGCTGAGCAGTGAGCACTGAAGAAGAGACATTCTTCCCTTCTAAGCAAACCCCATGCACAGTTACTGTTATCTTTTCAGGAGGCTCACCCTATGCTTTGAAGTTCCAGCAGCCTGGTTCAAACACGATCAGCCAATTTGCTTGATGGTCTGCACATGATCAGGTTCAGAATAAGCGAGAATTCAACAGCATTAGGGAAGGAAGCAGGGCAGTCGGCTGGGAGACATGAGGGCCAGCCAGCAGGAAGGCTTTTCTGGATGCCAGTGCCTATGTGGCTGTCTTCTGCTTTGGGGGGTCTGAGATTGAGGATGGGTATGAAGAATTTTACTGAGCAGGTTGGATCTATGTCCAGGTGTGCACTGTGAGAGTGAGTTTGCATGTGCTTTATACAGGCTGGCAGAAACAGCAGTATAGTCATTGTCAGGATGGTCAGATACTCCTCTTACACAGAGCATGACTTTTTGTCCCTAGAGCCCCCCCAAGCAGGTGACTTCACTATTCCCCAAGAGCTTGGCCAGAAGATTTTGGCATTCATAGCATATGAGATGTCAGCTACTTTACCGCTTGGCCTCGCCTGTGGACTGAAATGAAAATGGATGGTGCCCCTCGGCCACCCTGTCCTGCCCCTGTGGTCCCCTCCTCCCTTGAACAAGGGTGCAAGGGAGCTGTGCTCACTTTAGCCAAGGGGTGATGTCCCTGGCTTGGCTTTTGCCTGCTGCTCAGGCAGTGTACAGGGCTGGGCTCCAGTAGTCTCAGATCACTTCCTGGCAGCAGGGCAGGACTATAACAGATATCCCTCGGCTCTGAGGCTCCTGTGCTCCTCAGGGGACCTCAGAGGCTCACAGCCTGTCACATCACTGATGGGAGGCAGGGGTTGGCACCTGGCTGGTAGATTCTGCCTCCTGCCCCATTTCTGTGTCTCCTGGCTGGTTTGAAGCCTCTGTATCCTGAGCACAAGCAGAGTATCATGTATGAGCAAGGACTGTTCCCTGGGTGTGCCTGCACGCTGCGGGTCCTAGAAGAGATGTAACAGAAGCGAGTTAGTACTGATGCCTTCTGCTGCCCCACCTATGATCCTCAGACCTAAATCTGCCCTCTGGATTCCCCTCCTGTTTCTCCTGGGGTCTGGAACCAAGGTTCTTTACTTGGGCTTCTTTCTCTGCTCTGGTTCTAATTATTTCCCTCCCTGCTTTGCATGTGTCACACTTATCTGTATGAATGCCTTTTGGGATCATCCACAGAAGGAGCATGTGGGGGAGGCACCCCTGCCATGGCACAATTCATGACACAAACAGAAGCCCAGGGTCCCTAGTCATTCACTTTGGTCCATTAGGTTGTAACCCTAAAATCCAGGGACATGGGGACTATTTTGGGCCTTATCTACCTCTCTTCCCCCTCCTTATAACTGGCTCCCTTTCTCTTTTGTCTTTGTCTTGCTTAGGATGCAAAGAAGGGACCTAACCCGCTCATGAGACGCAATAGTGTCACCCCACTAGCCAGCCCCGAGCCCACCAAAAAGCCTCGCATCAACAGCTTTGAGGAGCATGTGGCTTCTACTTCTGCTGCCCTGCCCAGCTGCCTGCCCCCGGAAGTGCCCACGCAGCTGCCCGGACAAGTTAGTGGCTCCCTTTTCCTTCTTCCCTTGGGAGAAGAGTACCTGGAGTGATGTTCAGTCCTGGGACAGTGTGTGTGTGTTTGTGGGTGAGTGTGTATATATGTGTGTGTGTGTACCTGTATACATGTACAGGTGTTGGAACATGAGAATTCCTTGCCAGTGACAAATGTGCTGCATGTATGTCCTTTCTGATACTGTGGTCTTTACTGGGCAGAACCAGGAAGAATGGGCAGAGATGCAGAGAGTGAAATGTCTAAACCCAGTTCAAACTAGTGAATGATCATTTCTAAAATAAGTCTGCAATGGTCCCCCAGTGCAGAAGTCTCTGTCTAGTTCTGGAACTTGGGCATCTTCACTTTTTTTTTTTTTTTTTTTTGAGATAGGGTCTCACTATGTAGTTCAGGTTGGCCTTGAACTCACTGTGCAGCCCATACTGGCCTCAAACTCATGGCCTTGGCGTCCTGAGTGCTGGGATTACAGGTGTCACCAGCATGCCCGGCTTTGGGCGTCCTCTCTCTTCCACCCCATTGCTGAGTGTGTCTTTGGTCTCTTGCTTATGATTACTCCCACGAAAGGAAAGCACAGGCCCTGCAACCTGGGCTGTATCTGAAGCAAGCAAGGTTCCCCCTACAACCAGATAGCCTGGCTGTCAGCTGGGATAACTGGCAAGGAGCCTCTTTTCATGAACATGATCACCTCACCAGATAGTAAATCCAAAAAAAAAAAAAAAAAAAACCAAAAAACCAACCCAACAAAGTTTCACTAGCTTAGAAGGCTTAAAGTGGAAAGATTTTGGCACTTGGATAATTAAGATTTGTTTTCAGAAAAATAGTACATTTCCTGAAAGATAGTCAAGGTCATTTGCAAATATGTAAGGTGTAGGAAACTGGGTTCCAGTTGACACACCACCCCAGGACTTCCCCCTGCCTGGCCTCTTACAAATCAATACAGGTTGAGCCTTGAATTGATTTTGTTCCTGAGCTCTTGACCAAGCCACCTCTGAGGGGTTTATTTGCAGCCTACCAATTCTTCCTACCTACCCTGGAGCTTCTTTAAAGCTTTTAGAGTCTGGAGTATGATGGGGGAGAGTGCTGTGGATTTGTAGGTCCTTTGACTTCCCTGGGCCTGTTTTGTTATCCATGGAAAGAGAGGATACTACCTATTGCAGGTGGCAAATCAGATGAGGTGAGTCATGCCAAGCATGTAACCTGGTGTCTGGCATGCATAGGACTGTATCTAGTGAGACGAGAATGGTCAGCCTGGCTTTGATTGCCAAGCGCCGCCATTAGCACTTGTGAAGGATCATAATGGCACGGTCACTTCTCTTCCTGGGGCCTCAGTCTTTTTAGCTTTGCAAATAAGGGCATAGGGCTGGGATACTTCTGATAAATTTTCCTCTTAGTTTTCAGTCTGAGGGTTTTAAAATGAAAACCAAGCAAACCTAAAATAGTGGGCATTGTGCATTGCACAATCTATCCTTGTGCATTGCAAGATCTTACCTGGAAGTTCAGAGGCCACTATGGCCTCTGAACCTGCCTGGGTAGGATACTATGGCAGTGTCCAGTCCTCTCTGCCTTTAGGGCTTCCCAGATTCATAGGACAGTCCTTTAGGACTGCTGAGTCCTTAGGACAGCCTGGGAAACTCTGGCTGGGCCAGGATGGGGAGGTTTGCTGGGCTATTCCCATGAGATGACACTCAGCCTCCTGACTGATCTCTCTTTCTCTCTCTCTCTCTTTCTCTCTCTTTCTCTCTACTTTTTCTCCCTGCAGCCTTTGCTAGGGAAAGCCTGTCTGTAAGTATTTCTACATAACCCTGCTGCTTGCACTTTTTCTGTCTTGCTTGCCTGTTTGGCTTCCTGCCTCTTAAAATATTGAGGATAAAGACAGTTTTTGTGAAGACCAAGGTCTTCCACAAGGAGGAGGAGATGAACATGGGAGGAGGGAGAAGGGAATTCGTGAACATTTTAGAGGGGAATGAAAGTGGCTGTGTGGCCCAGCTGCTATTCAGCATGTCTGATTGTGTCTCTTAAGTCCCTCTTGGGATTTGAGGTGTTATCTGTATCGGTCATGATCTAGGGGTCCCTCAGCATTAGATTTTGGTAACAACTTGGCCTTGGCTTGCTGTCAATGCCTTTTAAGCATTCTCCCTTCCCAGAGAAGCATTCATTCAAAATTTGCCTAGAGCCTGAGGAGGATGTACCTTGGAGAATGCGGCCCAGCAGGCTCCCCACCTGCAGGCTCCTGAGAGTTCTGTGTGGACTCCTTGGAGATCTGGTTGTCTTCTATCAGAACACGTTCAGCCATAAGTCACAGGCAGGAGTGGGTACAGCTTTGCCACCAGACCCATCAGGTTGCCCTCTCCTTTGGCTGGAGCTCTCTGCAGTTTTCTGATTCAGCATCAGCACTGGCAATGACAGAGTAGATAACAGTGTCTCTGCTGCTCTGTTGGTCCCCAGCTGCAGAAGGAGCCAAGGCCTTTGTGTTACAACCACCATAAATGCCATCCCACCAGCCTTCCAGCTATACCTCCCATTATTCCCTTTGTGCTCATTAAGCTACCTTGAAGAGTTTATGCGGAAACTGGGATGGGTTGAGATCAGTCAGGGATGAGCTGAAAAGAGGGTTGATTATTCTTGGAAAACAGGAGTAGTTTGGCATCTTGCCTGGACTGTGGTGGAACCACACAGAGTCAGATGTATTTCTAAGGCTGTATAATTCACTGAGAGTGAGAAGATCCACGCCTGTTGACTCTGATCCTTAAATAACCCCCGGGTGTGGGTGGGGCAGTTCCTCCCTGTTTAATAATTTAGACCATAGCCATCCAGCCAGTGGGGACAGAACCAGAATTTAGACAGGGCCTCCTGCTTCTAGGGGTTGGTGTCTTCCTCCCTACCAGCTCCTGGGAACAGCTGGGAGAGTGTCCCTGTCTCTGTGCCCAAGCCCTTGGCTCTTGCAGCCCAAGGGGTACTGCCAGCTGCTCTTGGTTGTCTCTTTAGATCCCACAGCCTTTCACTTGCAGCTGTTTCCTGTGGCTAATGATGGACCCATCCATTAACTTCCTAATAAGATGGTCTCAGGATCCAATGTTTGTGATCCTTTGGAACCAGCCTTTGAGCACATGGGCTACTTGTGAATTGAGTTCTCCTGTGTAAAAAGTAGCTTTTGAGTTTGGAGTTTATGATTCTGTATGTGTGCATGTCTTATTCTTTTTGATGTGCTGGGACTTGAACCCAGGGACTTTGCACTGAGCTACATTCCCAGCCTTTTTAAATTCATTATTATTATTGTTCTTCATTTTGAGACATGTCTCACTAAGTTGCTTAATTGTGCAAAATTGTCTTGCTGCTGTGAGGGGGCTGTTTAGATTCTCCCCTTACCCTTCTAAAGCAGACCAGTCTATCTTCAAAGTGATTCTAAGAGTGCTTTTGGGTAGAATCCCTCCAGATCGACAAAATTATATCTTATAGACCTATCACTTTGGCTTCTGGTCCAAATTCCACATTGGTGTCCTAGAGTCCAGCCCAGTCTCGCATATCTTGGATCATGGATCCGTCTAATTCTAGGAATTGACCTGTATCCTTTGACCAAAAGGTACTGATAAAGTCAGAGCAAGACAGGTTTGCATCTTGGTTCTACTAGAGGCCATAATCTTTGGACCTTTGGGAAGTTTAAAGCAATTCTAGGACCTAAACTTCTTTGCCTATAAAATAGAGAATAGAAGCTTAAAGGTTTTAATACTGAGAATAGAGATATGACACTTAAGCTGGTATACATCTGTAATACCACTGCTAGGTGGCTAAAGCAGGAGGATTGTCATGTGTTCAAGGTCAGGGCTCAATAGTGAGTTCAATACCAGCCTAGACTACATAATGAGACTCTGTCTCAAAAACCAAAACCAAAACAAAAGATGCTTAGCAGTGTATCAGGTGGCCCCTAGTAAGACCTGATGGACAATGGCTACTGCTGTTATTGGGGAGGAACTTGGTGTCTGGGCCTCACTGGATGTGCTCCCAGGTTCCCCTGGGTTTGGGCCTGAATTTTAGTGTTCCTAGTTTCTTCTGCCCCATCCAGTGGGATTTCTTTCCATGATCAGCTGGAGCTCAGATTTGGGAAGAGGGAAGCCCTGAGGTGTGTTGTGGGTGACCTTGGTTTCCTAGAGAAATTAGGATTGTAGCCTGAACCCTGCACTGTGCAGTGTCTTCCTGGGGGCTGTGGTAACTGCCTGGCTCACACAGACCACCTGACATTCACAGTACATCCTTTACTTTAAATTTTCAAGTGCACACCAGAAATACTACTAAAAGATCTTCTTCTTTTCCAATGTTTTTTTTTTTTTTTTCCCTCCACTGTGCTTGAAAGACGAACTGTCTGTCACATTTTCTCAAAGTTTTCTCCTTACTAACCTTGGAAAGGTAAATGACTGACTGCATGTTCCTCTGTCCCCTTCTGCATCTCTCCAGGTCATGGCATCTCAGCTGTAGGGCATCTTGGTCTATGCACAGATTGGTCATTGTGGAACATGTGGCTCATGTGTCTATTCCAGACAATTTTACAAGCAGTGCCATTGTCGTGAGGGTCCTTTCCCGTCTGTCTTTCCTCCCTCCAAGTGTCCTGAGCCTGGGGCCCCATGAGTGAATGACATGGGCTCTTGGTGTTATTGTTGCATGGTCATCATGTGGGTTCTGGAAGCCATGGGCCAGTGGTGTCCCAGGGCAGGTTGGAGCCAGCTGTTGTAGACAGAAGTGGTAGTTCCCACTCTGCCTGTCTAGAGTTTCATGGAGGCTCTTTCGAGCTGGGATGGGACCCACCATCCCACAGGGGACTTGGCTGCCTGTAGTCCTGTCCCACCCAGAGCTGAGTGGTGGCTCTGGTGCCATCTAGTCCTGTGGGTCTCTAGCCAGGGGTCTAGATTGTGTCGGGTGAGAGTGGGCAGAGCCAATCCTTGCATACCTGTCTGCTTAGGTCCTACTGTCTCCTCTTGCCCCTTGTAGAACAGTATTGGTGGAGACAGTTAGGAATGGAGAGTGTACTTTTTAAAAAATTGTGCTTTTTTTCGTGGGGTAGATCAGGGAGTTTAGGGAGAGACCCCTGCTGTGCAGTTGGCAGCAAACTTGTGTTCCCAGGAGTTTTAAGAGCATTTCTTAGAGAAAGCATTGATGTGAGTCAGAATCGTGGAGTGAGGTTTCCTGCCAGGTCACTTAGGTCAGGACTGGGGTAGAGATTCAGGACATGATCTCCTGTACCTGGCTCCCACCTGGGCCTCCCTGCCATATCCAACCAGTCCCACAAATCATCTGTGTTCTCATGTCCAGCTGTGGCCCAAAGTCTGGGTACCAGCAGCTGAGCATGAGGCTGTGTTAGCTGAGTTGCGAGGAGGAGCCTGTGTTGCTTTGGGGCCCTCAGTCATCTTTCACCTAGCTGTGGCGGTGGAGGCCCCCATATGTGCAGAGAACAGCCCTGGACCTGTAAAGGGGTGTGAGCATGAGGCTTCCCGGCACCTCAGAGGGCTGCTTGGAGTCCCCTGTTCTCTCTTAGTAGTCCTGTCTAACCCACCGGAATGGCAGGGTTCCCAGCCACATTCCTGTCCCACTTTCCTTCTCTACCTCTTTCTGGCAGAAAAATGACCTGGCAATGATAAGCAGGCTCCTGGCCCATGTCTGGCCCCTGCTCATGTTCTGGGACCTACCTGAGCTCTTCCACCTGTTTTGTGATGACATTCTCTGGGGTTTGTTCTTTGTTTTGGGGCAGAGGGAGGGGAAAGGAGTCTCAGTGGCATGGCTTAAAGCCTTCTGCTTGGGAAGCACAGTCAGCAGCAAATGCTAATTCCCTCCCTTGTCCTTCTTTCTCCTGAAAACAGAACATGAAAGGCTCCCGGAGCAGCGCCGACTCCTCCAGGAAACATTGAATGAAGCAGACACATCTCATTCCGTTCCACTTCCATATCTGCAGCTTAGCTTGTGCCCTCCCATCTGCCCAAGGCCAAAGTGATCCCAAGGACTTCTGCACAAGAATGACTGGAGAAAAGGGATCTGCCAGTTAAGAGCAGCTACACCCCTGTAGCATCAGAATGGCTGAGACACCAGAAAGCCATGTGGATTGTTGGATCCTTGGCAGTGAGCTTTGGCCTCTCCACCTTCTGCTCTTCTGAGTCTTCCAGGGCTGTTTGGCCTCCCAGATGCCCCACAAGGCTTGGGGAGGACGAAGAGTAGAGAAGGAGCTGAGAAAGGCTCTGAGAGGGCCCTGTTGTGCTGTTTTGTTTTATGATCCTGCCCTGGCATGATCCTAACTGGAGAGACAAAACTGGCAAAGAATCTTGAAACTATTGGAGAACTGGATCCTGACTGCTGAAGGCCAAGGCCTGCTTGAAAATTTCCACATGGATCCATTGTGCATCATAGCCTGGGACAATGCTGTGTAGAGACTTGGGCATGGGCTGAGTTGGGACCTCTTCTCCTGAGAAGCTCTCGAGCTGAGACTTACATGGCAGCTGAGCAGGGACATGCCCTGACTCCCCTGCATGTCCTCACACCTTCCAGCCCTGAATTCAAGGACAGTCCAGCTTCACAGGCAGAAGGATGAATTCTGCTGAAATAGGATAACTGGGGCCTCCCTTTCGCAGGGAGCTCTGAGCATCCTTTGGTCTCCTACCTGGACTTGGAGGTACCCTGAGCGATTTGGTGTCTTGGAGCTGCTTGCTTTTGCACTTTTTTGTGGCAGAAGTATGATCTAAAAGTTGCACCTTCTCTTCAGGAACTTGCAGTAGATGTTGGGGTGTTAGGCCCTTGGGGGGTTTGGAGTCTCTGAATGTGAGGAGTTGGAGATACCTATGAGATGGAGAAGCTTGGAGCATTTGACTCCTTGCAAGGCCAATTGTGAGATGACGTGGGGAACACCTGACCTCCTTCCTTGGGGACATTCATTACCTGCCACCCATGTTCTCCAGGTGGGAATGATGGCCCACTCAAGCATCATGTGCAGAGATCATCTGCATGTTTTTGTTGAGTGCTGTATACCTGGCATCGTGTTGGGAACCTTGAGGAGTAGACTATCATCCTTGCTTTGTCTTTATGGCATCCATGATATTTTGCAGAGATTGAAAAAGCTGGGTTTATGTAGTTCTAAACTCCTGTAGTTTCTGCCTCCGTTTTTCTTCCCTCATCCCCTCAAATACCAGGGCAGGGGAGGATGTCTGTGTCCAGAGGAAATCATTTGGAAACTCAGCAGTATAATAACCCTTTCAAGGATGTCTCAAAGCTGGTACCAAAGGTTACTTTTTTCCCCTGCCTTCTGATGAGCCCTGAGACTGTGCTCTCCCCAGCTCAAGGAGGCAGATCCTGAAATGAGGATGGGAGATGAACACATCTGAAGCTGGGAGTAAAGAATTATTTCTGTTGGCTTGAGAGGAGCTGTTAAAGGACACATTACCCTGATTGAGATTAAGTGGGAAATGGAGACATGCATCAATCAGATGCTGTTCCATCAAGTTTGTGTTTCTTCACACTGAACCATTTAAATCCTCCCTATCCACCCCATGACCTTTTAATTGGCAGGCTATCAAGGGAGGAGAGAAGGGCTATGTGTAGATCCTTGGGCAGCTTAAGACTTGGGCTGTTTTTTCCCCTGCCACTGTCTTGGGTCTTGGCAGGCTGTTTGCAGGTTGCTAATTTCTTTCAACCTGAGGAACCTGTAACTTTGCTCCTGAGACTGTTTCTTACTTGTCACTTTCTAGCCTCATCCTCTCTGTATTAATATAGACTCTCAAGTCTGATGCAGAAAAGGGCTGGGGGAGGGTGTGGTCCCTTCTTACCTCTGCTGACCCAGAGTCAGTACACACATGAAGAAAGCTTTGCCTCGCATGAGACTTCATTTTGGTAAAGGTAGATGGGAGAGGCCTTGGAGAAGGCTTCATTTGAAAGCAAGTGAGTTGCCTTCGAGAAGGCTTGGGGGAGAGGGGCTGAGCTGTAGTCATGGAACTTTTGCTTCAACTGGTTTTCTCCCCTCCCCCTTCTTCAAAATAAAATGAAATAAAACCGGGACCAATTTTTTTTTAAACTTTGCATATTGGTTTTTGAGTGAACTTCCCTCTCTCCTTCCACCACAGGCAAAGCTCTTCATTTTCGGGGGCAAAGAAATACTGAACCACACCAATGATATTTTCGTTTGTAATACTTGAAATTTATTTTTTTATTATTTTGATAGCAGATGTGCTATTTATTTATTTAATATGTATAAGGGAGCCTAAAAATAGAAAGCTGTATAGATTGAGTTTAATTGTTAATTGGTTTGGGGGCCTTTTATGTGTGACTTACGACTTCTCTGTGTTCTGTATATTTGTCTGAATTATTGACCTGGGTTGAAGCTGTGCTGGCTTTCAAACAGGGAACGCCTTTGAGAAATTTGTATATTTTGCAATTGCCAGACCAATAAAATAACTGGTTGAAATACACTGATGAAATACAGCTCTGATCCTTTTTGGGGGCTTGGGGGACAGTATTTAAGTGATGTTTATGGTCACTGCACTTCTCAGCTTCTGACTTATTTTTTCATTATCTTCCTTCCAGTAGGACATTCAGAGAGAGACCATTGAGCATTTATGTTTGAGAAAGAATAAGATGTGTCATTTTATTTTAAATTAGTAGACTGCATTTTATTGTAAATTAGTAGAGTAGAGAGGTTGATGGAGAAAAAAGGGGGCATAGGGATTTCCTGTAACCCCCTCTGGCCCTGACGTCTCCCCCATCATCACCATCATGCCTTAGTGTGGTTCAGGGGCCACAGCTGATGAACAATGCTAGTGTATTGTTAGGAATGTTCTGCATTGTTGGCTTACAGTAAGGGTCACGCATTGTGTGGTAAAGTCCTCTGAGTTTGACAAAATGCATAATGCTATGTCTACCGTTGTGGAGTCATACAGAATGACATCAGTTTTTAATTACCCTTTGTTCCATTACCAACACTAACACCCCCATCCCATCCTTTTAGACAGCTGCAAGTCCTAAACAACACTGCATTACATAACAGGCCACAGGCAGCATTACAGGAAGACATTTTTATTTTAGGTTTATTTCCCTTTCAACTCTTCCCTGCCCACTTCAAACCCTTTCTAAGCAGGCAAAAAACTTTAATTGAACTTCTATGAGATAGTGTTTTCACTGTCGAGCTCAATGCCTTGCCTTTACAGATGCGGCAAAGTTGAGGACTAGATGAGAATACGTGTGTCCAACCTGTGCACTCACTGCTACACCCCAGAAATACTTGGGCTCAAACTAGTTCTGCCCCTAGCTGTGATGAGAACAGGCATTAGCCATCTGGTATACTAAGCAGAATGACCCTCTCCCCAGGGTTATGATTTGGAAACTACATGATGGGCAGAACATTTTGATAGATGGGAGGCCCTGCTGCCTATGTTTTGGGCCAGTCTTGACCTCTTATTAGGGGTGGCATGCAGGAGATGGGTCACTGGCTTGACAGATAAAATCTTTGCTCCCAAATCTGACCCAGTCTTTCAGGTTAGTTTCCAAGAAAATTAAGAAGCTTCTCTAAAAGATGATTGGTATATATTTCTTGCTGAGTTGTAGGAATCTGCAATGGATTCATGACCTTTTATAAGATCAAGTTCTGATTCACCTGGGTGGTCTCAGGTCAGGTCTACAAGGACAGACTGAATATTAAAGAATGAGTCACCAGGTGGATAATTTTTGATTTATATTTCAAGATAATTTTGGGGATCAAATTTTTTGCAAATATTTTCTTAGCATGTTGTTTTTCCCTTTGCTTACAATGGTTTCTAATGATCTTGAACTCAAAACATTCACTGTGGAATCTCAATAATCCCTTTGTAGTTTGTTTTGCTTTTTAAGCTTGGTCTTTTCCATCCAGAAATGAATATTCACCATATTTATCTCCTTTATAAACAATATGATTTTTTGAAAACACTCAAGTTGATGTGTATGGAACGGTGCTATGATCTCCCTGCACCAAGTAGTTAACCAAATCTTTTGGTACTATTTGTTAAATATTTGTAATACTAGTAAAAAACATTCTGTTGAAGAGTGGAAAATGAGCTGGGGTGGAGGGAGATACCCATCCTGGTTGGAGGCTTTAGCTGGCACAGGAGCATCTGGTGCAAGGACTCTAGGTTCAGCCCAGGTCCCCATGGGAGGGACATCTGCAACTCCATTTTACTTCGAGATTATTTCATAGTGTCAAACCTTTCTAGGCAGCCACTTGCTCCCTGCACACCACTGGTTGCCCTGATTCCTCCCTTTGTCTCATCAATGTCTTTACAAGTTACCCTATCAACCTTTCAAGCCGAAGCTGCTAGTGGTGAGCTCTGGCTTCTGTGGGGGTTGGAGGGAGTGTGTGTAGTCATGTGGCCCTGGAGTCCACTGCTGTCCTTTTGAACAATGGGCTTTGCCCCATTGCTAATCAGGCCTTGCTTAGGGACATCCCCGATTATGCCAGTCCCAGCTGATCAGCCTTTTGACCTCTTCATTGGGGCCCCAGCCAAATGGGATTGTGCCTGAGCAGTTAGATGTCAGAGCTCATTGTTTTGAATTCAGTGGTTCTTAATTAGATTTGCGTAACACAGTTACCTAGAGTTTCCAAAATGCATACATTCACCTTTCATTCTGGGAGGTTGTAAAATTTATAATTCAAACATTCAAAGCATCTGTATTTTGGAGGGGAGGGACTAAGGTGTCCTATATGATTCTGTGAAAGATAATTGAGAAATCGTGGCCTAGATTGACCCTTATAAGTACAAAGAGAGTGCAGGGTATCCACCAACACAAGATAACTAAAATGGTTAAACTCAAAATGTTGCAAATCAGCCTAGAGTTCTTTGGCTTGATCCAGAGGGAAATTCTGGATCAGCAAAGGTGCTGGTCTCAGCTGGTCTCTGGAGCTCTTCAGTGGTAACAGCTCTAAGTGTTTATTACTCTTTCTTTTGAAATAAACAGCCCTGTCCACACTACTCAAGATAAAAACCCCAAGCAGATTTACAAGACTTTTGACGCTCACACTACCTGAGAAATGAATCAAGAACAGGTTTACAGGAACACTGAAGTGAGCCTTTAACAGAGCCGGTGTAGCAGTGCGGGGAGGTCAGTATCCAGAGGGAGCCCACTTAGACTAAACCCAAGAAGTGGCTGGGGGATGCTGCTTGTATAAGGGGTGCAGGCCTGTGTCAGTGAGGGGTAGGACCGAAGCAGAGAATCTTCTGGAAGGCTTTCTGTGAATGCTCAGTATGCAAATAAGGAGCCCAGAGTCCTTTCTTCCTGCTCTTAGCCACAACAGAGTGCCTCTTCCCTTCTTCAAAAAGGCAGCAGCTGAACTGACTGGCTGCACTCTTGCCAGAGTGGAAGGTGGCAAATTGTCCCAGCACATTGGGGAGCAAAGAGAGGCAAGGAGGAAGGCACAATAATTGCTGGCCAAGCTACATCCCGTCAGCCAGCATGGAAAAAATAGGAGAGTCAGGCGCTCTCCTCTGTCTCAAAAGAAGCAGAGAATAGAATGCTGCTTGCCAGGAACTGCAGGGAGGGAGATACAGAGGTCCTTGTTATGGTTACAAAGTTTCGGTTGTGCAAGATGAAGTTCTAAAGGACCGCTGGACAATAGCATCTATGGTTAACTACACAGTATTGTACACTTTAAAATATACTAAAAGACTAGATCTCAAATCAGTTCTTATAACTGTATGAGTATACAAAAAAATCCTCCAAAACACAGAAGAACACAAGGAAATTTCCAGAGGTAACGGGGCCTGTTTAGTGCCATGTTTGTGATGATAGCATCAAGAGTGTATGCATAATTTTTTTTTGTAAATCAACTACAAGCCAATAAAACTTAAAAATCATAAAGAAAGAACACACATACACACAAAGCACAGACTCTCTTGCAGTGCCTGTAACTTGTGCAGTACAGTCTTCCTTATTCAGATCCATGGGACAGAGAAAAATCTAATAGTGAAGAACAATTTTTTCTGTCCAGAGGTTTGTAGTCATCGATGAGAGGAGTTTGACAACATGGAAGAATGACTTCTTAACATGGAAACATGTGTCTTCTGCCTTCGTAGTACTGTCTCTCCCTGTCTCCCAAAGTCACTGCTTTCCTAACACACCTGGTCAGATCTTGATTTCTGACCTCAGAGATTTCTGCCTCGGAGAGAGCGGAAACATTTTAAAGCAGAGCGCTCTGTCTCCTGTCTTTCTGTTGTCTTGTTTTTATTTTTTGAGCAGAAACTCTCTCTAATCATTGCTACAGAGTTGAGTCAATATGAAGAAAAACAGCTAGAATGTACTATAAATATATATGCTTAAATGCATGTATGTGCTTAATGTTTACGTAGACATTGATTTGCATGTCATATGCAATCAAATTTAGTGTGAATGCATCAGCCTCATTTCATTAAGTGGATGAAAATGTAAGAATAGTCTAAATCTTTTTTGGGGGGAGGCAGGGGAGTACCGTGGATCAAACTCATGACCTCACGCTTGCCAGGCAGGCACTTGTAAATTCCTGGCCCCCATTCTAAGTCTTGTGCATTTTCTTTTTAAGGCTATGGATTCAATCCAGGCCCCACTCATAGTAGGCAAATGCTTTACCTCTGAGCTACATGTCTCACATTTAAATTCCACATGCAGTCCAGCAGCAAATCTAAGTGATGAAGCTTCTAATGTGCTCCCATCCCACCATTTATCACCACGTCCGCCATGGTCATCCTCATCTGAGGTACCACCTGGACCTGTTCTGCCTTTGCTGTCTCTTCCTGCTATCGGTACAATAGCCAGAGTGACCTTCTGAAATCTAAGCTGGATCCGGTCACTCTTCCCAATATTCTCCCATGGCTTCAGGACAGAGGCCGAAGGCTTTATCATGGCCTCCCCAAGACCCTACGAAGGACTTTGCTCCATTTGCTGCCTGCTTTTAGTTCCTTTTCCCCTCCTTACTTTGTTCTTACCTCACTATCCTAGCGCAGGTCCTCAAAAGAGGCAACGTGTCTGCTTTAGGGCCTTTGGGCTTGCTGTTTCCTCTGCTGATACCCACTCAACTAGATATCCACCCCCCTCCTCCAGTGCTCCCTCCCAGTCCCCACTCAAACACCACCACCTCAAGGCTCTGCATCTCCCCTTTCCTGCATCATTTTTCTGTATGTCATTCTTCACTCGCTTACAGAGTATGAATTAACTTGTTTGCTTTCTGTCTTTCTCTGCTAGACTGTAGGCTCCATGAGGAGAGCTCTTAATGATATCATTAAATGAATAATTAGTACTACTGGTAACTAAGAGACATAATGCATTGAGAAATAAATTCAGTTTGGTGAATGAAGCTTAGGAAGAGTATAAAATACAGGAAAATTGTGGAAAAATTTGAGTTAACTATTATAATAATAAATTCATAGCCTTTAGTGAGTTTTAAAATTCTGAATTAAATGATGGTTTATAT